AGGCTCTGTGCTGCAATTCAGACGCGGGCAGACGACGCACCGCCGACTCTACGCGTGCGTTGAGGACTTGGGTGGAGGGGGAGCAGCGTGGCGTGTCGGTGCCGCCGATATCACACCCACGCCATGGTGGAGCTACGTGGGGTGTTGGTGGTGTGGAAGGACTTTGCACGCTGTACAAGGTGTTAGCAGACTCGGTGCAAACCGGCGGACGGTGCGTACCTTGCAGCGGCGGCACTGGGTTGGCGGGCATCTGGTTGTGGACTTTGTCTGCGGCGTGGCACGGTATCACAGGTTGCGGCTCTACGGTGGCAAGAATCACGACAGCTGACTGAGTGTGCGGGTCAGTGGCAGTCAGTGAGCACTGACAGAAACTTATCAAGGGTGTCCAGGAAGCGGGGTCATCGATGAGGGGGGAGTCCACGTACAGGACGGGACGGTGGTGGAAAAGGAATGTACGCGGGGTCATGATGGTAGTAGATGGAAGAGCGAAGTCATGTTGATTGGCGACACTTGGCGGCACAATGGCATTGATGGGACAAACATCGCCAAATTTAAACAACATGTCTCGACTCTTACCACAACGCTCACCACCATACCATACACCCTTCATCTGCCTCACTCTTGCACCACTACGGAACGACTCCCTCCCATTGCAAATGTCAGGGAGCATCGGGTGCCACCCAGCCACGCCGGCACTCCCAGCCGTGGTACTCTTCGGGTCAGCAGTCGGTGGCACAGTAACGCGGGCACAGTACACACTTCATGATAGGGTGAGTTCCTGTTGACTTGATTGACATACATAACTATTAACCAGGATTAGATCTAGACTATACCCTGCCTCCCACGGACCACACTGCAGTTGGACTTATGCTTTTCAAGCCCGAACACCCAAGCCAGAACTTAAGTCAAGCGTGAACTTAAGATCAAGGCACAACTCAAGATCACGGTGTGAACTTCAGTTCGAAGTGACCCCTGCAGATGAACTTACAATTTTTCAAGCCAGAACTGAAGTCAAGCGCGAACTTGAGATCAAGGCACGACTCAAGATCACGGTGCGAACTTCAAAGTGACTTCTGCAGTCGGACTTACCATTTTCCAAGGCCGAACGCCCAAGCCAGAACTTAAATCCCGGTTCTGGCGATACTTCAGTTGTGGGTAGAACTTAAGTCGCCCGTCAACTTAAGTTCTGACACACGACTCAAGTTCCGGCCATGGTGTCATGAATGGCTGGCACGGACGCTAACAGTACTTATAATGCGTGAATAGAACTTAAGATGTGCACAGAACTTAAGTAGTAAATAGGATGGAATCCACTATAACTTAAGATGAGCTAATAAAGTATTTGAATAAACGGGCTATTGCTCCAGAGACCTTGTTTCGGGGCTTTCCCACATCTGAGGAGCAGTCATTTACATGCCTCATATGGGTTGCACGTGGAGTATTATGTGTTCAAATTGTCACTATATACCCTAGTTAACATTTCCGATGGATCCGGGCGCCGGATTCAAGTCTCGCGACTTGATTTGACTGGGTGGCCAACTAGCCTGTTATTTGGCCATGTTGAACTGCTGGCCGAAATAAATTCACTGTAATGGCAAATCTTTAGATATTTGGGTGGGAGCGGTCCTGAACTCTTTGTAGGATGCCTACACTCATTCTGACACAGTTGGGCGCGCGTAGGGTGAGCGGACAGATTGAGATTGAGGGATGAATGCTTAGGTGGCCAGGTAAGGGGTCCCAAATAGTAAGCCCTTGCTTATCGCTCGAGCTATAGCTTAGAGGCTTAGAATCCTAGAACTCTAGAATAAACAGCCCATCGTAAGCCCATCAGCCCATTGGGACGATAGGGGCGCGTCTCGGCTATTGCCCATCCGGACAATAGGCGTCTCGGCTATGGCCGTTGGGCTACTATTGGGCTGATGGGCTCGGCTCCAATAAGTTGAACCAGGTTTAACAAGATCTTCGGAACACGTAACTCTAAAGGTGTAAGTAAATCGCGATTGATCTCGGACGCAATCTGGAGAGTCGAGCTATGTAATTAACCACACCTAATCCGATCGTGCTGCGCTAGGAAATCCCGCTGATTAATAATTACTGAACCAAGGAACCTGCCTCGTCGCACGTCAAGCTGCCTGGCATAATCAGCCTATGGTAAGCGCAAGCCCATCAGCTTGCCCGATCTAGAGCGTAGGTAGTGCGTAGGTATCCCAGAATAAGCAGCCCATCGTAAGACCATCAGCCCATTGGGACGATGGGCGGCTCGGATACCGGGATATCGCCCATCATCCCAACCTCAACTTAGGCGAGACGCCCATCAGCCCAACAAGCCCAACGCTCAACGTAGCCGAGCCCGTCATCCCAATGGGCAATAGCTGACATCACTGCCCATCGTCCCAATGGGTTGATGGGCTTACCATGGGTTGATTATGAGTTAAGCTTGGCGTGAGACGTTGGTGAGACGTTCCGAATCGGCCAAGTTGAACGAATCGAACACGACCTTCTAGACACGTAACTCGAAAGTGTAAGCAAATCGCTATTGATCTCGGACGCAATTCTGGAGAATCGAGCTATGTAATACACCACACCTAAGAGAGATTCGAGACAGCATGCTACGTAACTGGCTGATGTCAGCGCTCTAAATTCTCGGAGAGGATCTGGCGCGATCGGGGGCCATCACACTATGCGGGAAGGACTTCCCTGGACGTCCAATACGTTGGAAATGCATCCCGCGGAACTCCCAATTATTTATTTATGTTGGAGCATGCGATGGAGTGCGCTTGTACAGTGAATCCTAATGACCTGGACATGGCCATGCCGTAATGGAAAACAGAACAGAGCGGAATCCGGTCGTGCCGTGCAGCGCTGGCAAATCGTGAAGATCACTGCGATAAATTATAATCGTCAGACGCTGATTAATTACACTACTGCCTCCGAGTCGTCCCACGCCAAGCTGCCCGGCATAATCAACCTATGGTAAGCGCAAGCCCATCGGCTTGCCCGATCCTAGCCCGATCACCCAGAATAAACAGCCCATCGGGACGATGGGCTCTCGTTGGGCTCTCGTTGGGCGGACAGTTAAGTTGCCCATTGGGATGATGGGCGGCTCGGCTAGTTGCCCATTGGGCTGATGGGCTCTCGTTGGGCTCGGCTACGTTGATGTTGGACTGATGGGCTCTCGCCTAAGTCAAGGTTGGGCTCGGCCAAGTTGAACAAATCGAATACGCCCTTTTAGACACGTAACTCGAAAAGTGTAAGTAATTCGTGGTGGAGCGTCAGCGAGAGAGTGTAAGCGATCTCGGACACAATCTGGAGAGCATCTGACGAGGAACCAACGAGTTGGTGACGAGATGGAGCGATAGCAGGCTGAAATGATGGGAGGATACAGTACGCACTCATTGTTCATGTTGCGGACCTCGCGAGTATCATATATCGCCCCCGCACACATCGGAAATCCAACCCCGACCATCAAAAAAAAAAAAGGTCCCAGGACGATCTCACGATGGACCGCCAGGGAAAGATTATATGCATGTATTTTGATTATCTTGAAAGTGAAAGTAGTTGAGTCGGAGGCGAAATGCAACATCGGAAATCTGGCCGACGGCCGTTGAAGAAACAGACGGCCCCATCAACGCACAGCGAACGCTCTCGATCTCCTCACAGTCAGCCCGGATTACTCACCTCATCAAGGCACGATGCATTGGGCGCGTTGTTTTCGCCACGACTTGGACGATCCGCGATTCAACAGAGACGCTCGTGACCGGGGGACCCTCGATCGCACCCTAGCCAAATGCGGCTAGACTTCGCTTAAGCGCGCCCATAGCGACACGACCGCCTGGCAGCACACGGAGAACGACCCCGGGCGCCCCTCTCAATCTAAACGCGACGTACCCGACACACGCGGCGGGTGCAGCTCCAGCATGTGCATGAGGATGCGGAATGTGCGCCCTGGCGAGGCGCGCGCGGAAGGAAACGAAGGAGGCGCAGGGTCAGCTTAAGGAGGCGGAGGTGCAGCTCGCTGCCTCTTGTCCATCTCCCCGTATCCCCTCCCCATCTCCAGCACGAGGGCGATACTAACACCCGCGCCGCACAGGATGCGCCCGCGCACGATACCGTCGCGTCCCCAGACGCCGTCTGCTCCGATGGCGGCGGCCGCCAATTCAACGGCAGCGAACGCACACGCAACGAGCGCACACGCACACGCACACGCACACGCAGCGCCCGTGCCCACGCTGATACCCTGCCGACACACCTCCCGCCGCTCCCGTGTTCTACATTTTCCTGTCCCCATGCGCATTTTCTGCCCTGCTCTTGCCCTCTCTTTCGCGCCGCGTCCCACCTGCCCCATCCTCCTCCGTCCTCATTCCTCTTCTCTCGCGGCTCGCTCTTCGCGTGCGGTCGTTTCCCACCCTTGTGCCCCGCGTCCGCGCTATCCTTCCGTACGTCCTGGCCATCGTCCCCTTTCGTCTGCATTCCGTACATGCATAATTAAAGGCTGATCGTGCATGCCGGCGCCCCACGCGCCGCAGGCGGAGACGGGGACGTTCCAGCTCGAACGCGAGGGCTAGGGCTATGTGCCGCCTGTACGTCGCAACGCGCGCATGAATCCAGGCGCGCACTTGACGGCGCCTAATACGCGGTGGCGCCCGACTCCGAACCCCAGCGATAACGGGTGGCCGCGGCGCTAACGTCTGTGTCTACAGGACAGGTCTTTTCATTCTTCACCATGGCCTTTACTGTTCGTTCGTTTCCTGGGCCCGTTCGCTCGACTTTTTTTTTCGACATCCCAAATGCCTGCAAGTATCGAGTGACGAATAGAGGAAGGAGGCGGACGTGGTGCACGGCGCACGACTGCATTCATTACATTATCGTTATTGTTGCAAGCAATTGAGCGGCGTTCGACTCCCCGCGTGCGCATACATCTATTTGAGCGAACCATTTTTTGATATTCCGAGGATTGCTGAAAAACTTGAATAGATGGAGAGATAGAATGGTGGGAGTAAGCGGACGTGGTGCACGGGGCACGACTGCATTCAATGTTAGATCTCCCGGCGAATTGGATTGCACGCAGTTAGACGGGGTTCGACTCCCCGCGTCCGCATGTGACGGTCCAGGCTTTTTTTTTTACTCGGAGGCTTCTACTTCCCTGGATATACTGCGGTATAGAATAGAGGAGAGAAGCGGACGTGGTGTAGCTGCTTAAACTTCGACGATTTGATTTCATTGAACAGACTGACGGGGTTCGACTCCCCGCGTCCGCCTTCAGATTTGCCAGGGTTATTTTTTGCTCGAGGACTGCCACCATGCTGTACATATCGAGGTGACGAATAAAGGGGAGAAGCGGACGTGGAGCCCGATGCACGACTGTATTCTGTGATTAAGAATTGAGTCAAAACAGTTCGACGGGTTTCGACTCCCCGCGTCCGCCCCTCCTTGGGCGTAAGCTTTTTTCTAGAAAGTTTTGAACCCGAGATATATTGAGGTGGGGAATAGAGGGGGGAAGCGGACGTGGTGTACGGTGCACTTCTGCCTTCACTTCGATGAATGCATCGACTTGTGCAAGCAGTTAGACGGGCTTCGACTCCCCGCGTCCGCCTAACTGCTTTGTATGCAGGAACTTTTTTTCTGGAACGGTGCCAACTGCTTGGATATATTAAGGTGGGGAAGGAAGGGATTAAGCGGAAGTGGTGCACGGCGCACTGCTGCTTTCACTTGTTCGGCAAATACCACCAAGTTGTAAGCAGTCCGACGGGGTTCGACTCCCCACGTCCGCCCTTCCTTTGGCGTCAATTTTTTTCTAGAAAGGTTCGAACTGCCTAGATATATTGAGGTGGGGAATAGAGGGGAGAGGCGGACGTGGTGCACGGCGCACCGCGGCCTTCGCTGGGTGTTGAAGCACATGTGTAAGCAGCCAGACGGGGTTCGACTCCCCGCGTCCGCCTTAGCATTTCGTCAAAGCCCTTTTTTTGGCTCAAGGAACTGCCCCGGCATATTGGTGTGCGGAATAGACGAAGGAAGTGGACGTGGTGCACGGTGCACCACTGCCTCAACTTCATATGGATAAATAACCTTATACACGGTTGGACTCCCCATGGCCGCTTCCCTAAGTTATCTTTTTTTTTGGCTCAAAAGAGTGCTGCAAACCCAGCAGGTATCGAGGGGAGTAATGGAGGCAAGAAGTGGACGTGGTGCACGGTGCATGCATTCCATAAATTAACGAGGAGGAGTGCAAGTAGTCAGACGGGGTTCGACTCCCCGCGTCCGCATACTGATCAACCATTTTTTATTCCTAAAAATCTCAAAACTTCCATCTATAAAGTTAGACATGGAGGCAATAGCAAACGTTGTTCAAGCCAAGCCCCTCCAGTGAAAATGCAGGAAGTCAGGATGATTATCAGCAGTTGAATGAGGTTCGACTCCCTGTTTCTGCCTCTCCGGGTTCTTTAATCATATTGTGGTCAAAATCAACCTCTCACTCGGATCCAGTAGCACCAGCGCGGAAGGAAATCGCGGCAAGGCCACCGACGCGCTCATTCTCGAGCCAGGCTCCTCAAACCTCCCCCGTGATTCGACGGTTGTTGGATTCTCTGGGAGGACGCCACGGCCAGCCGCCAGGATCAATTGAGAGGTAAAATGGTGGGAGAAAGCGGACGTGGTGCACGGTGCACCACTGCATTAATATTCTGTCATTCAGCATGAATATGTTGTAAGTAGTTGAACGGGGTTCGACTCCTCGCCCCGGCCTTCGACTTCTTGTTTCTAGTTGTTCGCTCAAACAGAGCTTCAAAGTTGGTATTATGGAGAGCAGGATTGAAAGGTAGGCAGCGGACGTGGTGTACGGTGCACCGCTGCAACCTGTGACAAAATCCTGTGTTGCAAAAGTTCGACGGGGTTCGACTCACCGCATCCGCCGTCACCATGAGAATTTTATCTTTTTTTAGTAAGACTTATTCCCGAAAGTATTTACAGTTCTTTGCGGAACTTGGGGTGCGGCCCGTTTTTTGATCAAAATTTGATGTTTTCACGAGATCAGCTGTTGTGAGCTCGATTCTGGTCCGCTCCTCTTGAAAGTAAAACTGATCGCTTTCCACTTCAATTCCAGAGGGCTCTGGACCCCACAATCGTGCGGATGCATGGGAATTGCCTTTTCAGCAAATTTCGAGGTGTCCATGGAGAACAGCTGTGGTATTAGCTACAATCATCCGATTGACCTAGATTTTGGATATGATATACTGACATGTCCCCGAGGGCCCCAAACCCTTGGATGGCGAATATACCTCACGATTAAAATTCGGTGAAGGCTCCAATTGCAATTAATTTCCTGCTCTACACTAAATGTGGACTGTGTCCGAGAAAGCTGATCTGAGCTGATGGGGCCCTCCTACATACATCCGAGTGGAACATATCCAAAATTCAGGTCTATCGGATGATTGTAGCTAATACCACAGCTGTTCTGCATGGACACCTCGAAATTTGCCGAAAAAGGCAATTCCCACGCATCCGCACGATTGCGGGGTCCAGAGCCCTCTGGAATTGAAGTGGAAAGCGATCGGTTTTACTTTCAAGAGGAGTGGACCAGAATTGAGCTCACAACAGCTGATCTCGTGAAAACATCAAATTTTGATCAAAAAACGGGCCGCGCCCCAAGTTCCGCAAAGAACTGTAAATACTTCCGGGAATAAATCTTACTAAAAAAAGATAAAATTATTGTTCAAAAGCCTTACAGTACTCAATTTCATTCAGTTTTACATAAGTCCCCTGCCAGATATGAACAAAACATTTAAATCCTTATCAGGGCACGTCACACCCTAAGTAATGCATGTAAGTATGATATATCCAAAAAGTAAGTCAATCGAATCAGTATACTTAATGCTAGAGCGGATATGAGAAGATGCCTCAAAATTTGCCGAAAAAGGCAATTCCCACGCTTCTAACATATTTTCGAACGTCACTCCCTCTGGAATCACAAGTCAAATCTATTGATTATACTATTGATTATAGTTTCAAGGGAATTGGTGAAGAACTGAGCCCAGTAGAGCTGAAATATCCGAAACATCCAAAAAAAAAAAGGACCGCGCCCTAAGTTTTGCAACTGGCTGTAATAGCAGATGCACTCCCCGCACTACCGAGCCTTTCCTCTCCATCTGGTATCCTCTGGTATCCTCTTCTTATTCAATGTTTTGAGCGGTGAGGCTGAAAAAATCTAGCTACAAAGAAGAGGATGACTCGGGCCGGAGTCGAACAGGCTCCTCAGCATTCATTTTCCACAGAGTCCACCAATGGAAGCGGATGCGCACCACGTGCTATCGAGCCTTTCCCTCCCCTTGGGTAAAACTGCCATATCCATTTTATTCGATGTGGGAGACCGAGAAAAAGAATTCAGAAGACGGCCATGGATCAGCCCCGAATCGAACAGGTATTCTCTGCACCAGTGCGGAATACGGCACAATAATGGGATGCAGATGCGCTCCACGCACCATCGAGCCTCTCTTCCTTCTCATCGTAAGTCATTCATACCCCTACGCGAGACTCCGAAAAAAATAGCTAACTGAAAGAGGCAAACGGCTCGGGCCCGGGTCGAACAGGCACTGTCTGCTTACAATATCCGGACAATTTGGAAATGAGAGGCAGATGCACCCCACGCACGACCGAGCCTTCCTACAAACCCGGGCATGTGCTCTAAGCTCAACACTTTTTATCAATTCATACAGAGAAATAAAATAAAGTAAAGGACATCGTGCGTGCCTCGGGCCTGAATCGAACAGGCTGGGCCTGCAGTGATTGGACCCTGGCTCGGGCTTGAGTCGAACAGACATCCTCTGCATCAATCTCCTTGTCCCCATTTAAAAGAAGCAGGTACGCACCACGCCCTACCGAGCCTTTCCCTCCCTCTTGGAGGCCCCTCCATATCCATTCTATTCAATGTGCATCAGGAAAAACCCAAATTGCTATGGGGCCTATGAGGTGTTCAATAGACATACATAGACACATATAGACAATATAACAATCTGGCTATAGTGTCTATAGTGTCTATGCGGGTCTATATAGCAGCTCATAGTAATTTGGGGCTTTCCTGATGTGAGAGACTGAGAAAAAAATTGTTGAGGAAAGAGGAGCATGGCTCGGGTGTGAGTCGAACAGGCATCAGTCTGCTGACACACATTAGGAAGTTCCACAATGAGTGCAGATGCACTCCACGCGCTACGAAGCCTTTCCTGAGGCTCTGGTCCGTCTGTCTCATTCCATACTTTGGGTCCTGGGGCTGAACCCAAATTGTGCACTTCACCAGACGAAGGGTGGTGATTTGCACAGATGTAACTTCCTCAGAGCTGCCTGGGTACTTACGGCGGATTCAAATCTCTCACAAGTTGAGTTAAAAAACAAAACAAAAACAAAACAAAACAAGTGTTGAGCGCATCCTGGCATAGCTCAGCCCCGAATCGAATGGGAAGACCATTGAACTCTTGATTTAATGGAGGTTCAATTCCTCCCAAAGGTATGGAAGCGTGGCCCCCTCTTTTTCATTGCTGTTAAAGGACTACTTTCAGGTGCACCCAACCAGTGGAGAAACGGGGTAAGTCGGCCTTCGTGGATCCAGGCGATCACCCCGTAGCAGCAGAATTGCAAAGCCCTCCACTAGGGAGGCGGAGATTTGATTCCTCGGCACTGTGTATCTGATTTTCCCAGCCATAGATGGCAAGGAATTAAACCGCAAATGAAAGCACATGAAACATCCGGCTCAATGAGGGAATATCTGGGCAAAGTGCAATAACTTACAGTGTCCCCCCGCCAGATCATGTAAGCTCCACAATATCAAATGTCAAATTGAAGATTGAGCAAACAGAAAGAAGATTGAGGCTATGTACATACTTCACATCCTCTCCATATCACCCAGACTAAACCCCAACATGTATGAATGGCACCCAGCGGGAAAATGATTTTGTTCCTCCAGCACAATCCAACTTCTGGAGCTTCTGCACAGCAAGATGAAGTGCTTCCGCCGCCCTCATGGAGTCTGGTGGTGATGTTTTGAACAGGTGGGCATAAACATTACATGCAACCTGTGGCCCGTCGGCATCCATTATGGACCACATTGTCCCA